TAATCCACCCAATCAAACATGACCTTATTGATGTATTAATCATTGATGTGTTTGAATTTTTTTAGAGAATTGTATCTGATAGTGACATGAATGGTTCAGATCATTTGAAGATTGTGAAAGTTGTATATTGTGGGATTCTCTATCATTGTTAAACAAATGATAAGGTGATCAGTTGGCATAATTTAGAGAGAGAGAATATATATATATATATATATATACTATGCAACCATGATACTGAATTTGTGCACACCACATGCACACCACCACGTGCATACCATTCTACTGAATTTTTACGCACCACATGCATTGTGTGTGAGGTGGATATGGATGTGGAGTCTATATTTATGTGATAAAAAGATTTAGCAAAGTTGAAATTTATTTGCAATCAATTTAACTTAAAATTAAAATTCCTTACTTAAGCAGTTGTACTATAAAAATAAATAAAGGAAAACTACAAATCAGTTTTATCTTTCAAAAATAATTACTGAAGCATACAAAACTTTATGGTTTTAATTATTAAAACTTATAAATTTTATCATTAATTTGATTTTTTTTTTTATACAAAAATACACTGAGTTGTTATTTTTCTTAAAAAAATGACATTAAGTTAGTAAGTTAGGTTAGTACATAGACTATTTTTATCACTTTTTGAAATCTAAATTACTAATTATGTTTTTATATCAAATTGTTACCAAAATATCCTTCTTAATTGATATTATAGCTAATTCACTCAATTTCTCCTGTGACATGATTTATTTTAAGTATGATTTTATCATTTTTTTAAAAAACTTCTTCCTAATTTATACAATATTAAAATATTAAAAAACCTCATTCTAAAAAGGCGATTGTCGAAAGTATTCTATGAACAACTGTGCACTTAAAAAATGAATCTAACTATATATATTTGATGATCAGGTGTGCCCGGGTCAATTTATTCATAACTTGACTAATTTTAGGACCCACGCAAAACACCCCTCCACGTGGTGTGACCCTAAAGAATTAATAGCATATACCGGGAGTTGAACCTTAGATTTGGAGGGAATACACCACTAGATCCCAAGTTGCCCCTATTAGGTCAATCCCTTGGAATTAACTTTTTATATAATTCAATACGTTAATTAAAGCGTTTTTTTTTATTTGCAATTTTTTTTATAAAAAAAATTATTCTAATAACAATTTTAAACCAATATTATTATAACATTTTAATTTTTCTTTCTATTTGATTCAACTACAAAAAGTATTATAATGTGCATATACGATAATGTTAGAAACACATAAATCAAATACAAAATGTAACACAATCTTCTCACAAGTGGTGAGTCACACATGTAAGTCATACACATCTGGACCCCACCTCTTGTGAGAGTGTTGTGTTTCATTTTGTGTTTAATTTCTATACACGTAAACTAACTTATATATATAAATATAATGAGGCCCACCAAAGTATTTTCATTCGTAGATACCCTTACTTTTTCTGTTATATCAAACGTAGGTCTTATTATATTAACATTTATAATTTTATTTCAATTTTATACACGCAAACTTTTTTTTTAGATAGTTATACCTGTAAACTTGATCATATACTAAACATATATTTTCTTTAAACTACAAAAACATGAAATAAAAAATTGAGGTCATTATTTGCGCAAGGACCTGGGCAAACACCTCAATTGCCTATTGGTTGAGCCGTTGAATGATTGGAACAATTCTGCTGGCACACTAATCTGTAAATCATATATGAGAAATGTTATAAAAATACATTTTTTTTCGTATAATTTTTTTTTTACTTACAAATTGGCTTGACATGTAACAACATTATATTGAAATTTAAAATCAACTCCCTAAAATTAAATGATTAAAACAATTCAATTATCACATCAATATAAAAATTAAAATTTATAAAAATATGTATTTATATGACATTACTCATCATATATATGCAAAAATGGAAATTTCACCTCAGGCTTGTTCACTCCCTACTCAAACATGTTGTTGGGGGATTGGTCAGAAGATTAATGGTATAATGTTAGATTAATGGTATAATGTTATCTCATATGAACTCTCTCTCTCTCTCTCTCTCTCTCTCTCTCTCTCTCTCGGCTTGGAAGGGTGGTCAAACACACCAAAAGAGTTAGGTATGAGTAACCAACCCTTTAGAAATTCTAGAATAATGCATATGTGCCCACTTATTGGGTGTTTAAGAAAATAAATAACAACCAATAAAAAATGTATATAAAAAAAAAGGAATACGTAATGCGTTCCCACGTCTAATATAGTATTAAAAAATTTATAATTTGATTAATATATTTTGAATTCTAAATACTTTTTCTTTAAATTATTTTTTTCATTGCGGAATACTTTGTTAAATATTTTTTATGATTATGTAGCATTATTGATATAGTATGTCTCATGATAAAAAAATAAAAATAAAAATAATAAAATAAAGACAATGAAAGCCGATATATACAGATTTGGATATGTGTATATATAAAAGGGAAAATGTTTGAGAGCCACAATTTTTGTGGTCACAATGGCTCAAAACTGTTAAAACGATGTCGTTTTGGCATGTTTTGCACCTAAAACGATGTCGTTTTGACAATTTTAAACCATTATGACTACAAAAATTGTAACCCTCTAGCATTATTGATATAAAAGATTGGGCAAATTACATATACACCCCTTCAGGTTTGGTTAAATTACAGATACCCCCTGAGGTTTCGGAAATTACATCCCGCCCCCTGAGGTTTGTATTTTCATAACAATTTACCCCCTGAGGTTTATATTTCATAACAAATTACCCCCTAATTTCTTATGCAAATATAGCATTCAGGGGGGAATTCGTAATTTCTCAAATCTCAAGGGGGTATCTGTAATTTTGTCAAACCTGAAGGGGTGTATATGTAATTTGCCCTAAAAGATTTTGTTCCGACAAAAATGCATGCAAGCTCCACAACCATTGAGTTGTCCGTTGGTTCATATTTTTGCCTCCTTGGCCTGTCCAACCACTACGTGACAAGTGTGACCCAGTCAAAGGTTTTATTTTGATAGGCCAAGGCTTATTTTCTAAAATAAAATAAATAAATAAACAAAGAAAGAAAGAAAAAGAAAATAGAATTAAACAGTATGTTTAGTTTCAGTTTTTTGAATTCAGTTTTTTAAAAACTGAGTTTTTTGGTTTTCGTGCTTTTTTTGTTTTTAGTGAATATTTTTAAAATTTTAAATATTTTTTTTACTTTTTTAGATGCACCTTACTTAGATGTATCTAAAAAGTACAAAAATTGTAAAAAAATATTTTAAAAAATTAATAAATACATAAAAATATAAAAAATGTGCTGAATTCTCATATTTTTGGTATTTAGTGAATTTTTAAAAGGTTTTTTTCACAATTTTTTTACTTTTTAAGTATATTTATGTTAGGTATGTCTAAAAATTAAAAAAAATTGCTTAAAATATTAAAAAAATTCATTGAAAACATTAAAATATGAAAAATGAAAAAATAAAATTTTCTGAAAACTAAAACCAAACAAGCTGAATAGAACTTTCATTCATGCCATGCTTATCTATGTCCAAGGATCTGACCTATTTTATTTTTTCTATTTGTCCAATAGAATACGAGATTTAAACTGTATTTTGGATTTAAAATTTGACAAGAAATTTGTGAAAGAAAAAAAAAAACAGATAGAATAAAAAAATGAATGGAATATAAGTTAAATTCCTTTCACTTTTCACCTTTTATTTTCATCATTATTCATTAGTTTGAAAAATATGAGCTTTTTTTTTTTTTCCATTTTCTATTACCACACCATTTTTTTTTTCAAAAAAAAATTTAACAAATTAGAATTTTTTTTTTTTTCTAATGATAACAAATTAGACTTAAAAACTAAACCAAACACATTTGAGACATGAGATTCCTAACCATTCAAAACAAACATGTCTTTTTGCTTCTCTCACACTTTTGTGTCTTGGGGCTTGGCTTAAACTGGAAGGCATTGTTTGCCTGGTGTCATTTCAAGAAAAATCTTAGAAAGTGCATTAATTTTTATTAAATGTGGTCATGTTTGTGTGAAAATTTCCCCATTTTTTTTTTTGATGGGCAACTTTGTCCACATCAAAGTCAAAATAAAAAAATATATATAAATATATATTAAGAAAAAAAAAAATTCCCACTAACTTTTCTTAGATTTGAATTCAACCAATCTCTCAAGCACCCCATGGATTTGACCTTGTCCACCACAAAAACTCATTTAATCGTTTCATAGAGAGAATTGAGAGAAACAATAGTACAAAAACAACCTTGAAATTTCTACAAAATCCACTTCTTTTAAAGAGAAATTGACGTTCAATACAACGCATTTACAAGAGGAGCATTATATCCAATTAGAAGAAAAAAACAAAAAACTACAACAATCTCACGTCACGTGTAATCAAGCACATGTGGTTGTGAATGTGAACTAAGAACGAAAATAGCGAAAAGAAAGAAGGGATGAGCTTTTTCTCTGCTTAGATACAGTTGGTTCAGTAGATTTTTTTTAGATAGAGGAAAATACAAACTAAGAGTTCACAGTTAACACGTCCAACTAAACATGAGCCGACTTTCTTGATTCCTAATTTAGTAATTTTAACTGTTCTATCTTATAAAGTTTCTCAAATGATTATTTATGTAAAAAAAAAAAATCAAATTAATCGTATGTCGATAATCACATAATCCGATTATATTTATCTTGAAAATAAATTAACAAGACAAATATGACTTGATAATATAACCATCTATGATTAATTTCATTTTTTACATAAGAAGTTTTTGAAAAATCTTATAAGACTAACAACTTAAATCACTGACATGAGTTCGGGTGAGCTCACCAAACCCCAACCTCACACAAGCTCAGCCCAATACTCAGCCTTAAAAAAAAAAATAAAAAATACAGTAATATGTACAAATTAGAGGGTAAATTAGACATTATAAACAAATTGGGCATAGAAAAGTCCGCCCAAAGAAAAAGTCAATCGGAATAAGCCAAGCGATGGTGAACCAAACGGTCCCTTAGAATTCCTTGTACACAGAAAAGGGGCTTCCTGTTTCTACGGCATTCCTTAGACTTCTTTGCATGTCGTGTGATTTTTGATGATGAATTTGAAGACAAACCATTGCTATTTCTATTATTAATGTGTTGCCTCCTAAACTCTTCACTATTTCCCACTGGGTCCACCACATCCTCTGCAAACTGCACCCTCTTCTTCTTCTTCTTCTCTCTCTTCTTCTCCTCTACAGCATGTCCAAAAAACCCAATAAACTAAAAATTATATACACAAAATATCTATATTACTATTAAGGAATTTTTTTTCCAAAAATGCTTTCAAAATTGCCATAAACTGTTTTAATTATCTCTAATTGTTTCAAATCATAATTATCAAATTCAATTACAAATTACAGACCCGTATCGTGTGTTTATTTCTAATATATATATAGATATATACGAACAAAAATCCTATGTATCCATAAAAACTAAAGGCAAATTACACCCGTAATTTTTGGTGTTACAGTACTCTCAAGGAAAATGAATATAATGTTATTAATTGAATTTTTATTTAATTTCTTAATCAAAATTATTAATTAAATTAAATTAATACAATTAAAATTATAATAATTAAATTGACACAACAAACAATTTACAAGAGTTAGGGATATATTATTTCTTAAAAAATATATTACGAAAAATATTTAGAACTTAAATTTATAATATTGATTTAAACTTTAAAAAAATCATGTAAATTATAGAGGATAAATACAAACATTTTAAATTATGAGCACTCCATTAATTTTTTTTTCTTAAAATGCGTAAATTGATTCAGACAACTAGAAAAATAAAATAAAAAATCACGCATATGAATTAACGAAAGGGAATTGATGTAACCGATGCCAAGTGAATTGTGAGACCATGTAGATGCAATCATTTCAACACAAGGACTCCTTCAATGTCTGAGAGAGAGAGAGAGAGGTTGTGTCCAAACCTGAAGAGATGCAAGATCGAGGGAGGGGTGGTGGTGGAGAGTGGTGGTGGATTGAGTTGAAGTTGAATTGGGTGGCCGGAAAAGACTTCTGGAGGCGCAGAGCGAGGATGATGACAGTGCCGGAGACCGCCATGGCGGTGGCCAACACCACACCTTGTGAATTCAAGATTGAAGACATGATGAATATGTGTGAGAGAGAGAGAGAGAGAGAGAGATAGGGTTGATTTTGCTTTGCCGGTGTGTGGGTGTTTTTTAAGTAATGGAGACAAGAAAATTAGTAATTGGTGTTGCAGTACTGTCAAGGAAAATGAATATAATGATATTATAATATATGGCATAGTAAGGGAATCAAATTGACAAATGGATTACTTTATTGTTTTGTTTTTATTTTTTTAATCTTCCAAAAGAAATGAGAAGATTATTGGTGATGATGAATGAATGCAAAGTTAAATTATATATATATGTGTGATGTTGTAATGCCTTTTGAGGAGGGACTGTCTGCAAACTTTTGCTCGTGCACCACACGGCTTTGCTAGTTTGAAACTTTTATAAAGTTGAAGATGATGTTACTAGGTTTTTTTTTTTTTTTTTCTACTAATATATTACTTATAGAAATGAGACTAAGGCCTCGTTTGAGAACAGATTAATTTAGTAATTTTTTGGTTATTTGGCTAAAAAGGTAGGTAAAAAAAAACTTGTATGTTTGTGATGACTTTTTGGCTAATTACGAAAAGATGTGCAAAAAGTAGAAAGAAAAGAGAATCTTTGACTTTTTGGTATGAGTTGTTGGCTTTTTGGCTAATTTAGTAACTTTTTGGCTAATTGGCTAAAAAAGTAAGTCCCCAAACAGGGCCTAAAAATTTTAAGATTGTGTTTTGATTATTAATTTTGATAAAATTTTAAAAGAAAAATAAAAAATATATATAAAATATCAGTGAAGTATAATTATATTTTATTATTATTTTAGTTACTATACTTTAAACCACTATCTAAATTTATAATGTAAATACAATATTAAAAAAATTATTACATGAGAAGTGGGATGATTAATTATTAAAGGGTGACAATTTTCTTGGGGTGTAATTTTTACTAGGTTATTTTATACGGAAAGCCTTGCACTCTTTATGTGTTTCTAATTATTTTAGGTTGTTTTAAAAAGTTGGTTAAAAGTTAGTCTTTTGATTTTGATTTTGATTTTGATTTTTTTTTAATGTGTAAAAAAGTAAAAAAATAATGTAACTTAAAATAGATTAAAAACTAATTTAACTTTTAACCATTTTTTTAAAAGAACCATTTGTATCATCTCCATTGATTTATAATTTTCTCAAAACTTTAATATAATACTGTGCTAATAATGTTAGACCATTTGTTAAGATGTGTTTAATAAGACTGCACTAGGGGTGGACAAAGGTTTATCCAATCCGCATAACCTGCTCAAACCGATCCTATCCGTACAAATCCGACCCCACCCGCACACATAAATAGGGCGGGTGCGATCTATTTTTCAGCCAAAAATCAGGTTCGGGTCAGACCCGACCCTACCCTACCCGCAAAGAACCGTATCTACCAACAAATTATATTTAATAGAACCCACTCCCAGATTTTTTTGTTTTGAATAGAAACTCACACCCAGATTGGTCCAAAAAAATCAGTTTCTCTGGTCTTCCTCCCTCCCTCTCTCTCTCTCTCTCTCTCTCTCTTTCTTCTTGCCACTCACCGACCTCTCTCTTCTCTCCTCCTTGTCGCCGTCACCACCAGCATCTGTCGCCTCCTTACTCACGGTCTCTTTCCTCTCCTCCCCGTCGCCATCTTTCTCCTCTCCTCTCGCCGTGACGCTATCGTGTCTTGCATCGCCACTCTATTTTTCAGTTATACAACCATGGCATTGTTTGCTCGCTGCCATCCCCTCATTTTCTCCTTGTTGCCGTCGCCAATCGCAGACCAGATCTAGAGATTTCCAGATCTGGAAAATGTAGAAACTGCACACAAAAAAAAAAAAATGTTTCATTACACAAAGTATGAGTCCGAGATCTGAAATCTCTCATCTTCATTTATTTATGGTTTGTTGAATGTGGGTTTGCTTTGCTTGATGGCCTGGTATGTCCAGTTTTGTTTTGTTACCTGAGTTGCTTGCAATTTACCTGGTTTGTTACGTGGTTTGTACAAAAGAGATGTCATTTCTTTTTCTTGGGAATGATTGTGAGTCAATTTACCTAGTTTGTGAGTAGCCCACTATCAATCATCAAACCAATTGGTTCCCATGAAATTTTTGTTTTGCTTTATTTATTTATTTATTTTTATTTTTTTTTACCCAAAGCATATCTCCGAAAGGGGAGTAGGCCCCAAAGCAAAGCCAAGAATAAAATTTTCAAATAAATAAATTAAAAAATAAAAAATAATTTAGAAACCGCTCGTATACGCCCGTACAACCGCACGACCCACTTGTGCAACCCGTAACCTGCATTGCAACGCAGTTTCATTTTTTTCTAACCCGCACCCAATCGGGTGGGTCCAACCTGCAATTCGAACCGCGCATAACCGATCTGTGGACACTCCACATAAAGTTTTCCGAATCACAAAACCCGTCAAACCTGAACTGATTCGCATACAAATGAGCGGTTTCACATATACAATGTGGACGAATGCGGTTTGAAATATGATATTATTGCGGGTTACGGGTTTTATCCGCACCCGCAAGAACCCTCCCGTACTTAGAATTTTTTTTTTCTTTTAACCTAGACCGTTGATTTCATTCATCATATCTTAGATATTTTTGTACATGGAATTGAAGTTTTTGAAAGTTGGATGTGATTCATGATTTTACGAGTTTGCAAATGTTTTTATTTTATTTAATGTGTTTGAATTGGATGAAATTTGATAACAATTTATTATAATATAAAAGTTAATGAAGAATTACTTTTAGGTAAGTTTAGAACTTTGAATAATTTTACTTTAATTGTATTGTTAGGTAGTTAATGATTTTGATGACTTAATTTAGGATTTTGAAATATGTGCTTGTGTTAGTTTGTGATTTTATTTAAAAGTTTAGGATTTTGAGTGATTTATTTGTGTTAGGAATTGATTTTGTTGTATTTTTAATTTTATAAGTTTTAATTCATTAATTATTAATGTTAAGTATTTTAGAAAATGATGGGAAAATCCCAAAAATAAATATTTAAAGAAAAAAAATCCAATCCGCAAACCATCGGCAACCGCCCATACATCCGCAAACCCTATTCGCACAAACTGCAATTCGCACTGCGAGCAGTTGCGGTTTCAATTTTTCCAAAATCACACATATGCAGGCGAGTATAAATCGCAAACTGAGTCATTCAAAACCGAATCACGAACACCCCTAGTATTTTAATATTGTATTAATAGTTTAGAAACGCTATATTTTTAACCTATTAATTAAATTAAATATATTTAATAAATTTCAATTTTTAGTCTATTGTTTAGATTTAACAAGTTTTAAGTTTCATTAAATGAAACAAATATCATTAATTATTTTTTAACAAGTTAGCATATGACCCATAGTAATATTATTATTTAGAATAAATTATAAATACACCCAACAAAATTTACTTAAAATACGAATTATTCCTCATACTTTTAAAAATTACATTCCGTCTATTGAAATTTCTAATTTTATAACAAATGACCCATTTGATTAATAAATCATTAAATTAATTAACAGTTTTTAATTATATTAGAAATTTATTTCAATTAATAATTTAGGTAATTTTATAATTATATAAGGAAGCAGTTAAAAATTTTATTTTTTTAATTAACTCTATTAAATACAAAGTTATGGAAATGAGGTATTTGTAAATTTTTAAACTATAGGTAACAATTCATATTTTAAACAAAATTTAAAATGTGTATTTTTAATTTATCCTATTATTTAATAATAAAAAATCAGATGAGTCGAGTGTTTGTGTTTGGAATTTAATTATTTTAGTAATTTTTAAAACTTTTTTAAAAATAAAAAAAGGAAGAAGTTAATAATATTTTTGGGAATAATTTTTTTAGTTGTATAAAAAAGCGTGGATAACTGATGTTATGCTTTTATTTTTTGCTTGAATTTTTTTGTTTTACCTTTATGAAAGTGTAAACATTTATGCATTTAGAAGGATAATTTAGTCTTTTTAAATTGATGCAAAGATTTGTCAACTTTTTTTTAGTGCACGCCAAACATATGTTGACTTTTTAATTTATTTATTAAAAAAATTAAGAATAATTTTATATATTTAACAATTTTACTTAAAAATCTTATTAAAAATATAAGAGATCAAATGTGATTAGTTATCAAAAAATATATATATATATATTTAGTAAGATTGTTAAGAAGAGTTTAAGTAGATACAATATCGCTCAAAAACTAATAACCTAAATCGGAATGAGTGAATTTCACTTTGCAAATGTGATAACTGAACATGGCACTTGAATTTGCATATTTTATTACTCAACAATAATGACATAATATATAAATAATGATGTGATATTAATATTATATTAAAGATTTTCTCTTTCACGGGAAAGGAGTATATATTCCACTAGGAAATTTTAATATACATCATTTTAGAAAATGTGTATCATATGTATTTTTAATTATGTCATTTTTTTAGTTATAACAATTTTTATTTTAATTATTACATTATTTTAATTATGATTCATGAGTTCTTTATATCTCTGTTGGCTACATATTTTGTGCTAGCCAGTGACAATTCGACACGTGGCAAAGTAAGGGTAATATGGGGAGACCAATCAGGTCTTCGATCCTGATCATACACGTAGCAGTTAATATTGATTGCTATAAGATCTGAACAGCAGCGGATCAACAAAGAGATGTAACGTGACGTGGCTTCAACGGTTGCTCACATTCAAATTCAAATATAGGAGGGAAGCCTAACTGCAAGTGAAGGCGTAGTGGACCTACTTAAAAGGTAGCATGATCAGCGATCACGGAGTAGCAGTTCGACGGTTTGAAGTGCAGTTCGATGGTTATCGTTGGAGAGTATAAATAGCAAGAAGGACTTCAGAGATGGGAACGGAAAAAAGATCTAAGAAAACCAGTCTTACTTTATATATTCCAGTTTTATTTCCTGTTCTTTACGTTTCTGTACTTTAAGTTTCTGCACTGCACTTCATTTGTAGGAGTAGTTTTCGAGTATATTGCCACTGTAA